ACCGACAGCCCGTGTCTCAGGGTAAGGCCGCCCAGACGAGTGCTGGAGCCTTCTCTGGGGCCCTCCGGTTACACACCATAAGCAAAATCGACACTGACTAGCCCTGTGCCCCACAGCACCGTTGCTGGCTCCCTACACCTCCCAGATCTGCCGCTCAGGGCAGCCCATGCTGATCCCCTGTGCTGCTCCACCTGCTGCTGCCTCTTCTGTCCCCGTGTCCTTCAAAGCCCTTCATAGCACACTGTGCCGGCAGCATCAGCAATGAAGTGCTGGGCACGCTCCACCCAGTCCCCACCAGTTCCCCAGGGCCCAGGGCTTTGTGGTGCCAGCAGTGACACCTGTGTTGCTGCCCAGGTGAAGCGGCGCTCAAAGCGGGGCCAGGTGGGCATTGTGCAGGTCGGCGTGGAGACCTATGGAGGTGGCATCTGGAACACCTGGTTTGACCGCGACCTCACTGTGGCTGGGAGGGTGATCATAAAGGTGAGTCCGCTTTGGGGCACACACGATGGGCTAGCTGTGTGCCCCTGGCTCTGGGTCCGTGACTTCCACCCAGAGTGGAACCTGCTGCAACCCCTCAGCCCTGCAGGCCTGGCCCCAGAAGTCCTCCTTGTGTTCCAGGACCCGGCCACAGGGCGCCTGGAACAGCGTCTGGTACGTGTGGAGCGGCCCATCCTCCGCATTCCCCACCTGGCCATCCATCTGCAGCGCAGCATCAATGAGAACTTTGGGCCCAACACTGAGCACCACCTGTAAGGCCTGGCTCAGCCCCAACCCTTTGCCAGCCCTTGGGAGGGCTGGGACCCAGCTGGACCGGTGCCCAGCCTCAGCTCTCCCTTTGGCAGCCACTCATCGCAGTGGGGAGGTCTGCAATGACTTTTCTTAGCCCCACGGAGTCTTTCCAGGAGATGCTTTCAAGCTTAGGACTTGGGAAAGGACATTGGGGTGTCCTGAGGTGGCACAATGGATCTGTGCTTGAGATGTTCTGCATACTTGCTCCATTCAGCATTGCAGTCACTCCCTGGAGGAACAAGGCAGACATCCCAGAAAGGGTTGGCTTTGTGTGACCCGAGCAGGTGAGGTGAGCAAAGCTCTGGGAGCTAATGTCAGTGTGCCCCCACAGGGTTCCCATTCTGGCCACTGCTGTGCAGGAGGAGCTGGAAAAGGAGGTGCTTATGGATTCCACACCTTGCAATGCTGCGGCCCAGGTGAGCTGGATTCCAA